CGAGGCAGGATATACAAATAAATATTATTATTATTATTATTATTATTATTATTATTATTATTATTACTATAAACTGCTTTATTTCTGCAGTGTGGATACAACTACTGTCCGAGGCAGCATCTTCCATTGTTAAATAGCTCTTACCATCAGAAAGTTCTTCCCAATATTGAGCTGGAATCTCTTTTCCTGGAGCTTGCATCCATTGTTCTGGGTCCTAGTCTCTGGAGTAGCAGAAAACAAGCCTGCTCCCTCTTTGATATGACATCCCTTCAAATATTTAAAGAGGACTATCATATCACCTCTTAACCTTCTCTTCTCCAGGCCATACATCCCCAGCTCCCCAAGTCTCTCCTTGTAGAGCTTTATAGTTTCCAGACCTTCCAGCATTTTGGTTGCCCTCCTTTGGACACGCTCTACCTCCTTTTTGAATTGTGGAGCCCAGAACTGGACACAGTATTATTTATTCCAGGTAAGGCCTGACCAAAGCAGAAGAGAGTGGCACTATGGCTTCCCTCGATCTAGAAGGAGGAGGAGGAGGAGATTGTGATCTTCATCATACCTACAAGCATAGAAACTATGCAGAGTTTGTCATTTATGTTGTTGTCCATAACTCTACACTTGGGAGGAGATGGCACCGGGGGGGGGCACCCAAATCATCTGTCCCTGTAGCACACACAACAGGTGACCTGATGTATCTGCACAACTTGCACTACACAACGGCGGAAGAAATTCTCCACGGTTTTGTTTTATTCGTCATCCAACTGGCAGACGTCCCCAGGGCAAGTTATTCAAACTTTGGCCTGAATCCTAGTCTGGGTAGTTCCAAATAGAGGAGTAGACCCATGGATTTCATGGGATGTGTGCAAGTATCGACCTGCCTTTTGACCATCGATTCAGTGCGTCTCCTCTTATGAGAGCCACCAAGATCACTCAAGCAGGGTTGGGCTAAGATTATCGGAACTGTCCAAGGTGATAAACCTATTTACGACGATGGTTTGGAGAGCTCCTTGACAGCTTGAATTAGGTCCTGGAGGGGATTTATTGCCCTATTGATATGGGAGACGCTTGACTCCAATGGACAGCCAAGTGACACTGAAATAATGGCAGAAAAATAGTTCCTGGGTAAACAGCAACTGATAAAAATCTTAAAGAAAAGCCGCATTTTCAGGACACCTCTTTGTGCCGAGCTCTCATTTCATTTGCACTATATAGTACTTGTAGTTACGTACCTTCAACTCAGTTCTAACTTATAGCTACAAGCTAGTAAAATGTGGGCTAGACAATGCAACTGTTAGGTGGATTAATAGTTGGTTGACCAGTTGAACCCAAAGGGTACTTAGCAATGGCTCCTCTTCTTCATCTAAAGTTCTTTTTTCCAAGGAGCAGCAGCAGCTCGAACCCAGAGCTCAGGACATGTTTGCTTCTGGGACAGCAAAGGTGTTAGGCAATGGGCTGCTTGCGGAGACAATGCAAATGTTGCAAGGGTTTTTCCCCTTGATTTCAGCACAATGGGCAAATGAAAGGAACAGAGAAGTGACCAGAGGGGTGTCCAGTGGGGTTCTGTCCTGGGCCCAGGGCTATTCAACTTCTTTATCAATGATTTAGATGAAAGAATAGAGGACATGCTTCTCAAATTTGCAGATGACACCAAATTAGGAGGAAAAGTTAATACCCCAGAAGACAGGATCAAAATTCAAAATGATCTTAATAGATTAGAAAGCTGAGCCAAAGCTAACAAAATGAATTTCAACACAGAGAAATATAAGATACTACACTTAGGGCCAAAAAATGAAATGCATAGATATAGGATGGAGAACACCTGGCTTAATGCGACTTAGATGTGTGAAAGAGATCTAAGAGTCCTAGTAGACCACAAGTTGAACATGAGTCAACATGAGTGTGATGCAGCAGCTAAAAAGGCCAATGCGATTCTAGGCTGCATCAATAGAGGTATAGTGTCTAGATCAAGAGAAGTAATAGTGCCACTCTATTCTGCTTTGGTCAGGCCTCACCTGGAATAATCCTGTGTCCAGTTCTGGGCACCACAATTCAAAAAGGAGGTTGAAAAACTGGAACTGTGTCCAAAGGAGGGCAACTAAAATGGGGAAGGGTCTGGACTGGAACCATAAAGCCTTATGAGAAGAAACTTAGGGCGCTGGGGATGTTTAGCCTGGAGGAGAAAAGGTTAAGAGGGGATATGATATCCCTGTTTAAATATTTGAAGGGATGTCATACTGAGGATGGAAGGAGCTTGTTTTCTGCTGCTCCAGAGAATAGGACCCGAAACAATGGATGGAAGCTACAGGAAAAGAGATTCCACCGCAATATTAGGAAGAACTTCTTGACACTAAAAGCTGTTCGACAGTGGAGGCTGGATGGCCATCTGTCAGGGATGCTTTGATTGAGAGTTCCTGCATGGCAGAATGAGGTTGGACTGGATGGCCCTTGGAGTCTCTTCCAATTCTAGAATTCTAAATGTAGATTCAGTCAAGGGTTTGTTGCTAATAAAGTACAATTTTAAGCATTTGTCTTGATCAGAGTTCTATAAGTATATTGCAAGTCAACAAGGCATTTCAAGTAAGATAAGTTCATCAGAACAATATAATAAAATACAGTATATGTAATCTCGCTGTAAATAAACCATACGAAAGGATATTATTATTTTTTATTTTAGTGTTTTTAACTTTCATTTTGTAGTGCCCTACATTTTTCTTGAATGCCCTACTTTTTCTGGTGCCTTGTCTTACCTTGCGATTATGATGTCTGGTCACGTTATTCCCACCTAAATACCCTCAAGGCACCAAATCCGGTCTGATCCTGGAAGCTAAGCAGGCTCAGCCCTGGTTAGGACTTGGATGGGAGACCAACAAAAACTACTAAGTGCATGTAGGCTTGTATTTCAGAAGAAGGAACTGGTAAAACGATCTCTGGGTATTCCTTCCCTCAGAAAACCCTACGAAATTCACAGGGTCACCATAAGTCGACAGCCGCCGTGAAGACACGCAGATAAACGCATTGACCTTGGAAGCTAAGGAGGGTTAGCCCTGGTTGATACTTGGATGGGAGACCGTCAAGGAATATCAGATGCTAGAGGCTTTATTTCAGAGAAAGGAACTGGCAAAACCACCTCTGTGGCCTCAGGAAACCCTATGAAAAATTCACGGGGTTGCCATATGTCAATAGGGGATTTGAAGGGACATATACCACACACACAAACAGACAAACCCAGTCCCAGATCCCGGCCTCCTGACCGACTGGGAAGCAAGCGCAAACCCCGCATCTAAAGGCCCTCAATTCAGAAGAGGTCTCCAAGGGAGCCTTTTGATCGCCTTTATTTATAATGCTGTTAAGTCTCTTGCCTGGCTGGAAGCCACAAATAATTGTGTCCCTGAAGATAAGCCGCACTTGCATTTAAATTCTATTAATGCCATCTCCGAAGATTAGACTCCGCAGCTGAGCCTTGCAAGGGAGGGAAGCGGAGAGGACCGTCAAAAGGAGAAAATCAGAGGTTTGGGATCTGAATTCCAGCATTATAATACTTTGCCAGAGCATTTAACCCTCACCCCCAAAACAAAAGTTGTTCCTTTTTTTCCTCATTAATTATCAGTTGTGCTTTCTGATCTTTATATATTGCTTTAATCCATTTTTCAAAAAATGTTCTCCCATATTCATCCTCTTGATGACTTCGTGCATGATCCATCGCTGGTACTTATCCAACTCGGTTATGCGCAATGTATAATATAATATAATATAATATAATATAATGCAGGTACAGTGGCGCCTCCACATTCGCTGGGGTTAGCGGCGCAGTAACTCCGTGAACGTGGAAAAATGAATGTGAATGTGCAAATAAAAAAAAAGTATTATCAAAAATATGGTCATAGAAAGGAGAGATGAAACAAATTACATAAAAGTGTAAATAACTGGTAAATAGTCGTGTATATCTGAGTAAGTAATTTACTACCTAGTAAGTCATTAAGTTTGAATTAGACTTTGTAATACAATACGATTCAAGGCTTGCGAGTAAAGGTGTAATAAGAAAATAATTGAACAATACTGTGTATAATCAAACTAAAATAGATACTTGGATGGTGATGATATATGATATGATAACAATTCATATACATAGGCGATGATACTGAAAATCGAAAGATATAAAGAAATAATATCCAAACTAAAGGAAGGGAAGAATTTTTAGAGTTCGTATTTGTTTGTCTAGTTTAGTAGGTCTTAAAATTATGTTATGATGTCTGTCCTTGTTTATATGTTGTCTTTGAATAATAAAAATTTGAAATAAAAAACTATTCTTTTTACCTGAGACAACACTCTCTAGGAATCTCCAGGTCCTCCAGTGCAACTCTATGGTCAACATCTGCCAGAGGGTGATCATAGAATCATGTTGGAGGACCTACAAATGCCTAGAGAAGTGTTTTCTCTAGGAACCTCTAGGTTCTCCAGCACAACTCTATGGGCAACTCTTCTGGCAGAGTTGCGCTGGAGGACCCAAAGATTCCTAGAGAAAACATATTAATCAAACCCACAAATAATCAAATCTGCAAAAGTCAAAGCTGAAAATGTGGAAATGTGCACTGGAAATGCAAGGTTCTTTCTTCCATATGTGGGGGAGATGCAAATTAATGGGAAAATATTGGGAGTGTTCACAAACAGAGAGTGGAAATATTAAAAGTAAATATCCCGTTCAGTCCAGAACGATTTCTTTTGAATATAACTCACACCATGGAGAAGGAGACAGAGAACAAAAAATATAGAAGAATACTTCTTTATATGGTGACAGCTGCCAGAATGCTATATGCGCAATGATGGAAGAATACAAGAATTCCACCAATTGAAGAACGAATAGCGAAGCTTAAAGAAATGATGAAAACTTCCAACTCTATGAGTCTATAATTAATAACTTTTGTGCCACAATAATTATGCACACACACACACACACACACACACACACACACACATATATATATATATATATATATATATGAGTCAGTATGGTTTAGTGGCTTGAGCGCTGGACTAGGGCACTACTAGGAGACCAGGGTTCGAATCCCTGCTCGGCCATAGAAGCCCACTGGGTGACCTTAAGCAAGTCACACTCTCTCAACTTCAGGGGATGGCAATGGCAAAGACCCACCGAAGAAATCTGCCAACAAAACCCTATGATTGGGTTGCCTTGGGGCACCATTAAGTCAGAAATGCCTTGAAGGCACCCAACAGCAACACTCTTTGCTATCCGGTTAACCACGGTCCTCAAACACAAAGGGAATGTCGGGTGTTTCAAAGGCCTGTCAATCTTTCTGCATGATGGGCAGGTGTGGAATACAATTATGCAAAACCAAGGCAGAGGGAAATAGCTAAATATATGCAGCCTTGCTCAAGGCGACGACGTCTGATCCTCTTGGCACAGCATGGCCATTTTTGCAATTTTGAGGATGCCTCAGGAAAGAAGATGCTGCAGACACTCTGAGCATCTCTAGGTCTGCTCTGTCCACACATAACAGAGGAGCAGTTTTGTCCCTCCATCGTCTCCATCTTCATTTTGACATGTTTTCGGGAACTAACAGATTATGATTATTATGATTATTATGATTATTATTACAGTGGGCCTTTGGTATCTGCTGGGGTTTCCAGGACCCTCCAGTGGATAGCAAAACCCAAGGATGCTCAAATCCCATTAAGTACAATGGCACAGTAAAATGGTGTCCCTTGTATAAAATGATAAAATCAAGTTTTTTGTGGGTTTTTCAGGCTGTGTGGCCATGTTCTAGAAGAGTTTCTTTCTGACGTTTCACCAGCATCTGTGGCTGGCATCTTCAGAGAATATAGACCCACTCTCTTCCATTCCAGCATTCTCTGAGGATGCCAGCCACAGATGCTGGCGAAACGTCAGAAAGAAACTCTTCTAGAACATGGCCACACAGCCCAAAAAACCCACAAAAAACTATGGATGCTGGCCATGAAAGCCTACGACTTCACATGATAAAATCAAGTTTGGCTTATTGGAATATATATATATTTCAAGCCATGGATGGTTGAATCCGTGGCTAAAGAATCCATGGATATGGCGGGCTGACTGTATATTTATTTGTATCCTACTTTTCCCCAAAAAATTGGGACTCAAAGATAGGTTCTTAAATTGCTTCACATTCTATTTCTAGTTTAATTCTAGTTTAACTTTTGTATGTTTTTAGAATGTGGACTTTTGTTTGTACAGTGGGCACTTGGTATCCGCTGTAGTTTGTTCCAATACCCCCATGGATACCAATGCGCAAGTCCCATTACATACAATGGGATGATATTATTATTATTATTATTATTATTATTATTATTATTATTATTATTATTATTATTATTATTATTACAGTAGCCCCTTAGTATCCATTGAAGTTTGGTTCCAAGACCCGATGCAGATACCAAAATCCATGGCTGCTCAAGTCCCATTATATACAATGGGATGATATTTATTATTATTATTATTATTATTATTATTATTATTATTATTATTATTATTACAGTAGCTCCTTGGTATCCATTGGAGTTTGGTTCCAAGACCCTCTGTGGATACCAAAACCTGTGGATGCTCAAGTCCCATGAAGTACAATGGAAAGTAAATTTTATATATGAGTGACCCTTATATAAAATGGCAAAATTAAGGTTTGCTTTTTGGAATATATATATATATAGAGAGAGAGAGAGAGAGAATATTTTCAAGCTGTGGATGCTTAAATCCATAGATAAGGAATTCTGTGGAGAAAGAGGGCTGGCTGTATATAAATGAAGAGAGCAATAGGAGAGGATGTGGAGGCGGCAATTCAGGTGGAAGTTAAACAAGCCAGCCATCCTACGCTCCAAGCAAAACCTTGGAGCAAAATGTCTAGATCTTGATTTATCGTGCAGAAAGTCAGATCACAAAGCAGACAAGCTCTCCGGAGGAAAGACACCCAGGGTCAAGTTAATGTGCTGATCTAGGGGTGGAAATTCTTCACATTCTGCACAAACAAAGGTTGTGTGTGTGTGTGTGTGTGTGTGTGTGTGTGTGTGTGTGTGTAGCTTATGACAGCTGAACACAACATCCCTGTAAATCGGGAGAGAAAGTCAACTTGGCCTAAGATAAGGGCTCTCTGACCTAGCAAATCTTCACAACCATCAGCATCTCTATACTGGCTGTCTGGAGTCAGTTTCGTATTTATCATTTATTTAAATAGCACCATTCATGTACATGGTGCAACAACAACAACAACAACAACAACAATGTATTTATATAATGCCATCCATATGCATGGTGCATTATTGTTAGTAGTTTTAGTATTCATTTACTTATCTAGCACCATTCATGTACGTGGTGCATCATCATTATTTATATACAGTAGTGCCATCCATGCACATGGTGCATTGTTGTTGCTGCTGCTGCTGTTGTTGTTGTTAATATTATTATTATTATTATTATTA